TTCTGGGAATTTCTGATGAATGAAGAATTACTGCACTTTTTGCCAAAGCCTGCATTGACAGGCTAAGTGATGAAAAGACTCTTTTTTTTCTCTGGTCCTGATTTCCCCCTGCTGGGGTGGGGGTGGGGGGTGAGTGTACCCACAAGGTGTGGAGGTGGGGCTGGAAGCCATCATTAATTCTCCCAGAGACCCCCCAGAGCTCCCCACGCCCACAGCATGACTCAGTGGCGCCCTTTAAGGGGATAATTTGATTGATGACGTGGACAATTAGACTTGTGAACTTGACATCCACGTCGCTTCCAATGGTGAGGAAGGAAGCAAGAAAAATCTATTTTTGAATCCTACCATCTATGACAAGAAATGGGTTCTGTTTGGGGGAGAGGTGCGACCCCGCTGAAATCAACACTAGATATGGTCGCACACCCACGCGCCCCGCCTCTCCCGCGCCCTCTCGTGTTTTTCCCTCCCAGGAACGCGGCTGGGCCCCAGGAGGGTGGGGAGCGCTCGTCCCTCCCCGTCACACGCAGACCTGCGTGGGGGCTCGGACGCCGTGGGCCTGGCTGTCACGCTCCTCTCCAGGCCCGCGCACGAGGCCGAGCCGGGCAGACCTCCGGGGCCACCTTCTCCGCGGGAGCCGAGCGCCAGGCCACTTTAAACTGAAGAGGCTTTTCTCTGACTGAACTTGAAACCGAACCTTCCTGTTCTTAAGCCTAAATGTACCTGGGCGCAGCCCACAACGTCCCTCCCTGCTTCGCCCTCGGCCCCTCCCCTCCGAAGAAGAAAAGAGAATGTCTCTCTGCAAAGACAGGCTTGGGCTCCCCAAAAGAATGAGGGTCGGCAGTAGAATATCCCTTAGGTGTTTGCAGGAGCCCCGACAGCCCCCTAGATGGCCTTTTGCGCCCCCCCACTAGCCTCCCTGTCCACTCACTCTTAAGCTCTGGTTGGCTAAGCAGTGCCTGGGTTCCCCGTGGACCCGAGCTCGAATCCCAGGTCTGCCCCTCCTGACCTGTACCGCTGGCTCAGGGTCTTCAAGCCTCAGCGTGCTCATCTCTGAAATGGGCCTGGCAATCCCCAGCCCAGCTGCAGGAGGCCCTGAACAGATGGCTCTGCGGTGGGGCTGAGCTGGAATCTTAGGGAGAAGAGCCCCTCCCCACGTGTCCGTGAACCCCGAACCCGGCACACTGTCTCTGGGATGTTTCAGTTCCCGACTCTCAGCAGGCAGCCCGGTGGCATGAGCAGAGCTGCGTCTCAGGCAGGGCCGGAGTGAGCCCTCCCTTGGAGGGAGAGCAGAGAATGCAGGCTGTGTGGTAGGAGGGAGGGGGAAGAGGGAACTAAAACTCCCGTGGGGGGCCTCACCGGGCCTCAGTTTCCCTGATTGTGTAATGCCCCACTAGGACTGGACCTGGGGGTGGACACCTCCAACACCAAGCCTCATGTTTGGAGATTCTCAACCGGGGTGGGGTGCAGGGCAGGATGGGCGTGAGCCCCACCCCGCCCCGCCCCCAGCTGCCTGGCCCTGCTGTGCACGCCCAGGACTCGCCGGCCTCTGAGGCCGTCCAGCTGGACGCTGCTGGCCTCCCCCAGCAAGCATTCCGCCTTCAATCCAGGGCGAAGTGGCCGGTGTAAGCTGGGGGGTGTTAGTGTTTGGAGCAGGGAGGGGAGGGGGATGGGCTGAAGATAACATTTCTGTAGATAACATTTCCCTGGTTCCCTCGGAAAACTTTCGCCCATCACCAGCTCCCTTGTTGTCCGAGCAGCTGGCCTCTGGCCTCTGGGCAGGAGAAACAGGACACTTTCCGGCTGTGGCAGGTGGGGCCGGGCCTCAGGCAGAGCCACGGGGAGTGGCAGAGGGAAGGGGCCCTGCTGAAGCCCAGGCCTGGAGGTCCAATCCAGCCCCACAGTTGGGAGGTTCGGTCCAGGCTACCTGAGTAGCCCACCTGCCAAGCTAGGCTGTGTGGAGGGTGGGGGCTGCTGCTTCCTCTGGGATCCCAGGGGTTTGTACTTTGGAGAAGAGAGGAAAGGAGGGGAGGGGCGGGGCGGGGTGGGGGAGGGCACACATAGAGGAGCGCCCCCCCTGTCCCCACCTCTCCAGCCCCGCACACCCCAGCCCCCGGGGTCTGCTTGCAAACAGCAGACGGTGCAGCCTTCTCCCCAAGGGACTGGGTTGGCATTTTCTTGCTTTCTGTGCCGCGCGGAAGCCTGTGACAATCACCGTCCTCCTCCCCACCGCTGCCGACCACCCTTTCTCTTGTCTGCTTGCTGAACAGAAACCTCTGGTCTCCTGAATGTAGAAACGTGGTATCAACACTGGGGCAACGCACAGAAAGCTCCCGACTCACAGGCCGGGGCAGGAAGCCCCTTCCCTCGGCAGCCCCGCAGGGGGCTCTGGGAGAGGCGGGCCAGAAAGCCCCTGCCCCTCCTCCAGCTCCTGTAGCCCAGCCGGCCGCGCAGGAGGCCGGTGGCAGCTGTCGGAGGAAGGGGCCAGGCCTTGTAAGTACAGTGGTTTTCTCCTTACGAAAACCTGAGTTCCCTCTGGGGACAAGTGTGGCATCGGGGTTTATAGACAAGAAAACTGAGCTCTGAGAAGGGACTGGCCTCTGGCCCTGGGCAGTTAGGGGATGGAGCTGGGGTTAGCAAGCAGGTGCCAGCCAGCCAAGGGAATGCCCTTTCCAGCCAAGCCTGTGACACTGGACACAGATGCCCAGGCCTCCTTCCCTTTCCAAAACTGGGGAGGATGGTGGTGAGAAGGGGAGGGTCCAGAAAGGGCCGCCTTGGTGCTGTGCTGTCCACGCTGCAGCTCACCTGGTGACTTCGCCTGGGCAGCCTTGAAGCTCAGCCCTGAGACCCCGCCCTCCTTGGCGTCTGGCTGAGGACCCAGCCTTCCTGATCAGCCTGCTGAGCTGTGTAGGATAATTTTGGAGGCTGAGGTCAGGGTCCTGGGGGGAGGGGGAGTCAGGGAAGCTACAGCCACCTCCATGCAGGGGCAGTTGGACCTTTAGGCCTGGTCCTGCAGGCCATTCTCACTGTATCCAGGGACCTTGGGTAAAACATTTGCCATTTCTGGACTCAGTTTCTTCACTTGAGAAGAGCCCATGGAAGACAGGGCAATAACGGAAAGGTAGGGGCAAGGGGTGGGTGCCCCAGTGCCTCCCCTTTCTGGGTCTTCAGCAGAGAATGCCAGGGAAAGGGGGCTTCCCCCAAGGAGGTAAGGGCTTCCCTCTAGCCTCTGCGGAACCAGCCAAGAAATAGCGCCATCTCCAGCCCAGTCAGACGTAAGGCCTTCAGACTGGTGTGCCTGGGGCTCACCTTGACCTAACTTCCCACACCTATCTTCAGGTCAGCAAGCGTGTCCTCGAACCTTCCAGCTCCCTGGAGATGGCTGGAAGGTGAAGCCCCCCCCCCCCACCACCACCAGCACTGTGGGAAAGGGGAGGCCATGGCATGGGGAGGGTGTGAGATGGGTGGGCACCCACTCCTGGAAAAAGCTATGCAAATGCAGCCCACACCAGGGTCCTGCCTCCCACACACCCCCCCTTACCTCCATGTTCCCACTGCTGCCTGGTGCTCCTTCGATGTCCTCAGCCTCCCAGATCCACAAGCCTGTGGGAAGCTTCCTCCTAGTGCAGGGCTCTAAGGCCCAGGCTGGGGGCTTTCCCTGGAGGGTCTTTGGCAGGGTCCTAATCCCCCACCCCATGTCCCCCTGACCCCTGTCTGGAGGCCTCCCAGCGGGCCTGGAATATGTGGTGGGTGCCTGGTGTACACCTTTGCGTGGGAGAAGGAGAATGATTGTGGGCTTGCCCATACATGTCACCGTGGGCAAAGATAGATGTGATCGTGTGTGTTGGTGACTGTGTAAATGTGTTTCGGTGAGTATGTGACCAAGAGCTGTAGTTGGTTAGTGCTGGGGACTGGGCACGTGTGCTTGTGACTCTCAGGTGGCGGCTGTGCCTGTGCGTGAGAGCCGTGGGCTATGCTTCGGCCGGATGAAGGCCCTGTCTCAGGCCCCACCGTGTGTAGATGTGTGTGGGTGTATGTGACTGAACATGTGCCCGGGCGTCTGTATGTTTGTAAGGGTGTTCGCATGTTCAGGTGCGCACGTGGCTCCGAACGTGCCTCTGTGTGGACAGGCGGGCACATGTTGAAAGATGCCCAAGGTTTCATAACCGTATGTGCGCTGTCCTCTCTGCGTGCTCACGACTGGGTACGTGGCACTCCCGACCACTTCTATAATGTGCGTTCGTGTTGTGGGTGTTTGTGATGTAGGGTGTGTCTGGGTTGCAGAGTGTGTGGCTACAAGTGTGTCTGCGTTTCCCTGCGTCTTTATGGTTAGGGGTCTGGGTGCGTAAGGTTTTTCATCAGTGTTTTTCTGGGTGCGTGTGTGATTGCGTGCGTAGTACGTCTTTAGAGGGTGCGTGTGTTTTTCCTGGGTGTGCGAACCATGGCATGTGCTCTGGACCTTGTCGACAGGTGTTTCGGTGTTTATGTATTCCGAACGTGTCCTTGCGCCGTCCTGGGGTCTGCGGCCCGGCCCCTGATCGGCTCATAAGACTTATGCTAAGCGGACCCGGCTGTGCGCGCTCGTGTGCCGTCCTGTGTAGGGAACGTGTGCTCAACGCGCGCGGGGTACCTGTGCCCGTCTAGCCAAGAGTGCGCCTCGTGCGCGAGCGGGTTTCCGGGACACTGCAATGGTGGGGGGCGGCCCTGTGAAGAGCGGGGGTCACCGGGACTGGCCGGCGCCGGCCCCGTGCGCGCGGAGGCGGGGGCGGGGGGCGGGGGCCGCGGGGGGGCGGCGGTACGAAAAGGGCGGCGCGCGCGGCGGCGGCGGCAGCTCCGCGGCGGCGGCGTTGGAGAGCGCAGCGCGCAGCCCGGTGCAGCCCTGGCTTTCCCCTCGCCGCGCTCCCGCGCCCCCTTTCGCGTCCGCAACCAGAAGCCCAGTGCGGCGCCCGGAGCCGGACCCGCGCCCGCGCCCCTGCCTGGACCGCGACCCCGGCCGCCCCGCGATGACCGCGACCGCAGCCCTCCTGCCCGTCCTCTTGCTCCTGCTGGTCTTCGGCCACAGTGCCCGTGGTGAGTATCCCCGGCGGCCCGGCTCGCGCCCCCTCTGGGGAAGCCTGCGACGCCCCCCTGGCCGCCCAGTGCCCTGCGCGCCCCGTCCCATGCGCCCCAACTCCCGCATGTCCCGCCTAACCCTAAGCCCCGCGCTGTGCCTGCCTCGCCCTCTCTGATACCCTTGCATGACGAGCCGGGCCCCGGGGGTCTCGGGGGACCGGGCAGGATGGGACCCCCAGCCCCTTCCCACCCCGCAGAAGTGGTCCTCCGAGGGGTGTCGGTGCGCTGAGACAGGCGGTATGGAGAAACGAGGTGATGCTGGGAGTCCCCTGTGAAAAGGCTCTGGGGTGCAACTTTGGGGGTCCTTGTGTGCGCGTTGGGGTACAGGTCTGTGGGAACAGTGGTGGGTGACTTTGCCGTCGTAGTCCCAATTCCCAACCAGGAGCCCAGCCTGAGCCGTCCTGCGTGCGTTTCTCTCTAGGTGAGGGGCTGCGACACTCCTGTCTGCAGCGGCCATCTGTCTCTGACAGCGAGAGAGTTGCCCCTCCCGCAGTGCCCCCGCCCCCACTGCACCAGTGACTATGGGGGAGGGGGCCAGTCTGGAAAGCTGGAGAGCAGGTTGGAGTCACTGCACACAGTAGGCGCCTGTGAAAATGTCAGAATCTTTCAATAGGGTCAGAATTGCAGCCAGCTTGCAAAACCCTTGCGCAGTTTCTCCCTTTGCAGAATGTGGGTAGGGGGAATTGGAGCATTTGACCTGGGTGCTGGGCTTCACTGGGATGACCCTTCACAGATATCCAGATGCCTTACCTGTGAGCCGCCAGGTGAACCCGTCTGGCCTTTCCCAGACATGAACACCTCAACATCTCCCCTTTTAGCTCACTGAGCAAATTTGAGGGTTTGGCTGAGTGCCCAGGGGTCAGAATTTGTCCATCCACTGTCCCCCGTCCCCCCATCCCCAGCTTTAGGACTTGAGGTGTTGTACTTTGGGGGGAATGAGGTCCCTGACCTGCTTGTGGTCACTCCACAGTCAGGAGCAGGGCAGAGAGCTTGTCCTGAGTGGGTTGACGTGAAGTGCGTCCTGCGTGTCCGGCGGGTAGGACTGCAGAGGGTCCGCGCTCCCTCGGGAGGCCCTGTGCTTTGCCTTGGCCTCTGGGGCCTCGTGGGGTGAATGGTGTGACCTTTCTTGTGCCTCAGGAGCTGAATGCTTCCCGGCCTGCCACCCCCAAAATGGATTCTGCGAGGATGACAATGTCTGCAGGTAATGGAGTTGCTCCCCAGAGGCATCTTGGGGGGAGGGGGGGCAAGGGCAGAATCCTGGGGAGTCACGATGTCAGGCAGAAAAAAGGAGGTAGGGGGCTTACCCTCTGGGCTGCAACAGCTTCCTCACCCCAAAGGAAACTGGTGGGGGGCTGAGGGCAGGGGGCAGGGGGCAGGGACAGCCGCAGCTCCTGAGGAGATCATTGCAAGCCACTGCGGCAAAACGTAGCACTCTCCTGGGCTCTCGGGGGTCCGTCTGCTCCTCAGACAGTCACTGTTGGAGCTTTTCCACTCAGGTGACTGGTGTTTGCTTCCTGGGACCCCCTGGCCTGGCACTGTGCAAAGACCCCAAGGGCCCCTGATTCCACAGAAAGCAGCCCAAACTCCCTCGTCACCCCGGCCCACGCTCACATGGACCCTCTTCACCCCAACAGGTGCCAGCCTGGCTGGCAGGGTCCCCTGTGTGACCAGTGCGTGCCCCTGCCCGGCTGTGTCAATGGACTGTGCGTGGAACCCTGGCAGTGCATTTGCAATGACGGCTGGGATGGGACCCTCTGCGACACAGGTTGGCACCTGCCCTGCCCGCACCCACCCCTCCCCCTGCCCTCTGCCCCCCTGGCCTGTGGTTGCCTCCCCCCCCCCCCTCCCGCCTGATTTCAGTGCACCTGGTGCTCTGTATGGTGGTGATCTGTGTGCACACTCCCCGATAGGTAGGGGACATCATTTTGCTCCCTTCTGCGCCATAGGCACCGACGTGCAGGGAAGGCACTGGGGTGGGGCTGTCAGGAACTGCCTGCGAAATAGTCACAAAGTCAACACACACCGCACAAAGCTGAGCAGGTGGGGCCCACAGACCCAGGTACCCTGCTCAGGTCACTGAAGCTCAGGGAGTAGCAGGAACTGGAGGTGAGGGGGATGCGCAGCACGAAGACTCCAATAGGCTCACGCTGGACGTGGTGGCAAGGAGGCTGCAGAAAGCAGACGGGGGGGGGGGGGGGGGCGGGCAGGGCTGGGCTGCGGCAGCAGAGCTAAGGTGTGGGGAGGCTGGGAAAGGCGGACAGGTGCTTAGGGTGCAGCTTGGTGTTATCTGCTGACTCCATGATGTATGCAGTCCCTGCCTCCATTACCCTGAACAATGGAGGGTGGGCTGTGGCTGCGCTGTGGGCCACAGATGTTCGCCTGAGCCCATTCTCATTCGGCAAGAGCCGTCCGGAAGCCTGGGCAGACTGAAGGCCTTGAAAAAACTCCAGTGGCCTAGGTAGTGCTGAAGGGGCTCTGTCCCTTGGTCCTCAATTTGAACAGAGACTAATAGGGAAACTGAGGCTCGGAGAAGCCAAAGGCCTTGCTCAGGGTTCATTCTCATCTGAGCTTTTTCTCGTGCCCCCCCCCCTTTAAGGAAAACCTAAGAGCAGCCAGCTTTCAAAACCAAGCCCCCACCCCACGTCCTGGGTCCCTGTGTCTCCCCCACCCCTAGTGGGGTGCAGGGTTGTCAGCAGCTGACTCATGCTCTGGCTGAAGCTCGCTGCCCCTCAGCACGGCGCTGCACCCTCGCAGTGGCTCTAACTGTTTGAGGACCAAAGGACCCCAGAGATGTCACCACCTGGAGCAGGGCATCCAGCCTGAAGCACACCCAGTTTGGTATCTAAGCCCAGGACCCCCCGTGGGGTTTCCAGACCGAGGCCCCTCCCCACTAGGTTTACAGAGGCTCTCAGCTTAGGACGCTGGGTCCAGGGGACATAGCCCCCTGGGTGACTGAGGGCCTCTCCCTTTCCCCTGGTCTTTCAGGCTGTCCTGTCACGGTCGGTCAGCTGGTCGCAGAGCAGCTGCTGCCCAGCATAGCCCCCTCCCTCCACTGGTGGCCTTCTCCTTGGGCAAAGGTGGGCTTAGCCTCTGCTCAGGAGGCTTGACACCTCGGGACCGCAGTAGGATAGTCACTTGTCCTTTAGCCTAAACTTCCGACTCCCAGGTGACAGCAGAGCCCCACGCAGAGGATGACGCGCGGCCCTGTGCTCAGGGTTCGCTGGCTCCCGCCCTCCCTCGTGATAACTCCCCTTTATGCCTCCTGCGGCCAGCCGGCTCCCAAGGCGTGTCTCGTGGGCTCGGGACAGGCCGTCAGCGTGACGTTCCGCCTTTCCTTGTTGACTGCCATCTCCCCTCCGCGAGGGTGCGGGTCTCTGTCACAGGGAACATCTGTACATGTGTGACCCCCTCCCCGCCATCTGCCTTAATTTGCTGTGTCTCTGGTTGGTCCTGGCTTTCTATGTGGTAGGAAATCAATGCTAAAAGGTCCTTCAGAGACCAGCCAGGGAGACCCCCTTCTTCTTATAAGTGGAGAAAGTGAGGCACAGAGCGGGGAGGGGCTGACCTCTGCAGCCGCCTGGAGGTGGGCCTCCAGCGGTCCCTCCCTGGGGTCTGCACTGTCAGAGAGCCCCTGACCCAGGCCCCTTTGTTCAGCTTGTCCTGGGCTTGCTGAGCCGGGATAATGAAGTGTGTGTGATGGGAGGTGTCGAAAGGCAGTGGGAATGTACCCGTGTTCATGGAAACGCACACTGATGGGAGAGGGCTTGATAGTTCTAATCTTGCTGCCTTCAAAAGAGTCAGCCTTTTATCGCAGACCCTTACTGCAGACCTGAGAGGGGGGAGACCACCTGGAGGCGGAGGCAGGACCCGGCCAAACCCCATCTCCACTCCCCGGCCCCTCAGGGACCGGCCGGCCCACAGGACCTCTGGCATTTCTAAAAGCTGGACTGCACTGGTCCCTCAGTGGCAGCCCCCCCCCAAATACACAAGACGTTGGATGTGCAAACCTGTCTGGAGCAGGCAGGCATCAGGGACCTCAGTTCCACACACTTTTGGGGGAGGGAGGGTGTCTGCCATGAAGGTCATGATTTTGGTCTTAGGGGTGACTTGGCTCCCTGGAAAAGGGTACAGGTGTCCTGGGGTGAATGGCAGCTGTGAGTCCCCATGACCTAACACAAGGAAGCTCCTTCAGCAACCTGTTCAGGAATTTGGGGGGAGGGATCACTACACCATCTTACTGCAGACCTCACTTGATGACTGTTGGCAGTAGCCACAGACAGAGACATCTAGGCAGCTTACTTGGGGTCTCCCCTCCTGACCAACTGGAGGGGTGTCTTCCTGCCTTCACTCTGGGCCTCTCTGCCCCCTCGCCTCCCTGGCAGAGGGGTGACGAGGTCTGATTTTCTTTCCCTTTCCCCAGAAATCCAGGCTTGCACCTCGAACCCCTGTGCCAACAACGGAACCTGCGTGAACCTGGACACTGGCCACTACGCGTGCTCCTGCGCCCCTGGGTTCTCAGGGAAGGACTGTCAGAAAAAGGATGGGCCCTGCGTGATCAACGGGTAAATATTCTTTCCTGATTACGTGTGATGTCATGAATGCCGCTCTTGATTCCTGCTGCACAGCCCTACAGACCCTTTCAGCCCGACCCAGCCGGACCTGTTCCCAGACAAAAGGCCCCGTAAGTGCTGGGCTGCGGCCCGTGGGGGGCCGCCCTCCATCTGGGGAAATGTCGTCTCCACAATTTCTTCAAATGGAAGGCGATTTCATAGTCCCCTCCTGGCCCCAAGTCCCGACGCGGATGAATGACGGTAGATTGGGACTGTCATTGCACCCTCGCCGGGACCCGTGTGATTTTCTAAAGGCAACGTGAGAGCAGAGTTTCCCAGGGCCCGAGGCTGCTTTTGTGAAACCCACAAGCCCTGTTTTAGGGGGTCTTCTGGGAGGTCTCAGAAGAATGCTGCTAGGGTGAGGGAGAGGAAGAGGCTGTGGCCAGCATGGGGTAGGGGTGGAGAGGGGGGATAAGCCCTAAAGGCCAGCGCGGAGGGGACTCTGGGACTCCTGGGCAGTGGGCAGAGGCAGAATGGCCGCTGGCCTCTCCGGCGCCTCCCTGAGCAAGGCTTCCCAGCAGCCCGGCCACTCGGGCCCTTGCGTGCGTAGCTGCATGGATCGGGCTTCAAGGGGGCCTGGAGAGATCTCCCCAGAAGCAAGAATTCAACCTGGCCCAGGAGTGTCCTCACCTCCGAGGACACAAGCTAGACATGCCACATCAGTACCTCTTGCCCTGGCAGGGTGGCACGGAGCGCCCCAGAGCTGCCCGGAGCCACAGACAGGCATCGAGAGGTCACACTCGGAGGATGGGGGGCACCGAGCATCTGCTGCGAGAGAGGAGGGAATGTCGAGCCAGCCCTTTAATATACTCGGCCTCCCTTTCTAACAAAATGCGGCCCAGGGTCCTTGACATTCCTTTGCAGCCCAGCTCCGGGTCCCATCCCGAGGCAGCGGTGCCCACCGCCCCTTTCTTCCCTGGAGTTTCGGCATTTATCAGACGACAAAGGGCCCGCTCCTTTAGAAGCACTTACATTAAATGCTCCGCGCGCTCCGCTTTGAGCAAACAGCTTCGGCTCGCAAGCCACACTTGGGTGAACGAGCCACTATTAACCAGCGGCACGGACGCAGACAGACGGCGTATTTCTTTCACTCCAAGAGTCCCCGGGGGCTTCTGCACAATAACCTGCAGGCTCGCGCTGCGGAAAATAAAAATGAAAATCGTCGTGGGGTGGCGATGGTGGGGGGAGACCGTCGGTGACGCCCTGTGTGGCCCAGGGTCCAAGCTGAAGGAGGGGGCTCACTGCAGGCCCGCGTGGTCATGGACGTTGCCTCTCTCAGCCTCAGTTTCCCCCACTAGTCCAGTGACTCACTGGCAGGCCTCTGGTTGGAGACATGACGTGGAGGTGGCACAGGAGATGGGTCAGGTGTGTTTCAGGTGTGCAGCCTGCCTCGGACAACCAGGAGACCCTCGTAGGCGGGGCTTGCTGAACCTGGCACCTCTCTGGCCCCCTTGGCTGGCATCACCCACTCACCTAACGTGTTCTGTGTTCTGAGCACCTGCCCGGGCCCACAGCAGAACTATCCTGGCCCAGCCCCAAGCGACCCTAACCTGGTCCCCTTGTGTTGCAGCTCCCCCTGCCAGCACGGTGGCACTTGTGTGGACGATGACGGCTGGGCCTCCCATGCCTCCTGCCTGTGCCCCCCTGGCTTCTCGGGCAATTTCTGCGAGATCGTGGCCAACAGTTGCACCCCCAACCCATGCGAGAACCAAGGCATCTGCACCGACATCGGGGGCGACTTCCGCTGCCGCTGCCCCGCTGGCTTCGTGGACAAGACCTGCAGCCGCCCAGTGACCAACTGCGCCTCCGACCCGTGCCTGAACGGGGCCACCTGCCTGCAGCACTCCCAGGTGAGGTTTGAGTGTCTGTGCCAGCCCGAGTTCACAGGCCCCATCTGTGGCAAGAAGCGCGCGGCCGGCTCCCAGCAGGTCACCCGTCTGCCCAGCGGGTCCGGGCTGACCTACCGCCTGACCCCCGGGGTGCACGAGCTGCCGGTGGCGCAGCCCGAGCACCGCATCCTAAAGGTGTCCATGAGGGAGCTCAACAAGAGCACCCCGCTCCTCTCCGAGGGCCAGGCCATCTGCTTCACCATCCTGGGCGTGCTGACCAGTCTGGTCGTGCTGGGCACCATGGGCATCGTCTTCCTCAACAAGTGCGAGGCCTGGGTGTCCAACCTGCGCTACAACCACATGCTGCACAAGAAGAAGAAGCTGCTGCTCCAGTACAGCAGCGGGGAGGACCTGGCCGTCAACATCATCTTCCCCGACAAGATCGACATGACCACCTTCAAGGAGGCCAGCGACGAGGAGATCTAAGCAGCGCCCCCTCCCCATCCTCCTCCGGTCCCGCAGAGCTCACTATACGCGGTCTGTTCTAATCTTTGTGGGTGCATCCGCTCTCTGGTGAACGTGCGCTTTCCTGTATTATCCGTGTTGCTGTGTGACCACCGCCGTGCTAAAACCAGCCTCCTCTCTCTCCTCATGCATGATCAAAATAATAAGAATTTTATCTCTAAACGAGTAAGAGAAATAAGTATGTCATTCTAAACTTCTAAATTTAACATAAAATCAAAAAAGACAAAAAAAAAACAAGGCAACTGGACCAGGACCCGGTGCTGACGTCCCTCTCCGAGGGGCTCTCGGCCACGGGATCCTTGTAACATATTCTTTGTGACCAGCCACTGTGCAAAGGGCTCAAACCCCTTTCGGTCGTGAGTTCTCACCTGCCACATCCGACTCGCACGCACTTCAGCTTCCACATCGCAGTCCTTAGGTCTCTGACTGAGTGTAGTGGCCGGTGTCAGGCAGAGAGCGCCCGGGTTGGCTGCCGGGGGCCGGGACCCAGTCCCGGCCTTGCCGCTCACTCGCTGTGTCATCCTTGGCGAGTCCCCTTCCCCCGGGCCCACCTTTTCACCCCTCTTTAGGGAGGGGTTTGAGCACAGTGACCAACAAGGTTCTCTCTTGTCTAAAACTCTGAATTAGGAACCAAGGGGGAATAAACCAAAACACTTCCTGACCGTGCAGATTGGGGTTGGATGCAGACTCAGTCTCATCCTGGGGTCTGAAGGTTTTGGCCAATTCGGACACGCACTGATCGGGGCAGTTCTCAAAGCGGGGGGGAGGGGGGCCTCCCGGCCCACTTTCCACTTGGGACTGATCGGCCGCTTTGAGTGACCCTGTGCCGTCCGGAGTTGCCACCCGCCCGCCCAGAGCCTCGACGGTCTGCCGACCTCCCCTGTAGATTAGCCATATCCCTTGAAGTGTCCCTTCGCCCGAGCCACAAGTGCCCCTGGTGAGTCTGAGCAGCGACACAGCCCCTCCCAAGGCGTTCACAGCTGAGCGGAAACGGTTGCTTGTGGGTGGCTCTCTAGTTCTGTGGCCGAAGCGGTCCAGACCCGGCCCACGCAGCGGCGGGTTCCGTGTGTGTGGCTGAGTTTACTCTCAGATCCTGAAAGACCTAGCCAGTTTCTGAACCATGAACTTGACTTTTTTAGAAGAGCTTCTATTTTTTTGGCGAACATAGGACGTGGGCCAGAGCTCTGCTTGGCTCCCCCTTCGGGGCGGGCAGCTAAGCAGCCCTGGGGTACCAGATAGGGCTATTTTGCTTCTTAAATTATTTGGATAGGAACCAATACTCTGGGCTTTTTGGAGTATCACGGCCGTGTTTACCTTGCTCCAAGTGTTTATTTCTAAGTCGTCATCACCTTCATCATCTTGGTCATTCGGATCACCTTGCACACACCACACGCGTCACCGTCATCACACAACCATCGACCTTGTCACCCTCAGCCTCTGGACCACTGCCCACGCCCCTTGTGATTCTGATTCAAAGCCCGCCTGTCATGTGCCCCAAACCCTGATGTCCCACCCAAGCCCCTGCTCCCATCACTCCTAGCTCTTTCTCATCCCAGCCCCAACATGCCACCGCCGTCACCTCATCCCTAGCAGGTGACATCACTCCAAACTCCCAACACCTCCCCTGCCAAGCCCCTCCCATACTCACCCTGTCTTCCCTAGTTTTAAACCTGCCCTTTCCCTCCTACCTCCCCACAATTGTCCCCAATCCCAAAACCCTGTCACACTGCCAAGTCCCTCCCACCCCAAACTCCTGTTGCTGCCCACCCGCCCCACCCCTCCCTCACCCTCATCCCCTGGCGTCCCCACCCTGACTCCGGTAACCCTCGCCCCACGCCCCTCCTTCTCCCCCCAAGTCATTTGCTTCAACATCTCATTTTGGTGTGCTTCAAGAAAAATTTCAAAAAGACAAAAAAAAAGAACTGTTGGCATGTGCCAGGTGGGTGTCTGGCACCCACCTGGCCGCTCTCGCGTGAGACCTTGATCGAGTCGACTAACGGTTCTGATCCTCAGGTTCCCCAAACTTGACATTCTGAGATTGGACGAAATGACCAAATTCTCGACCCCACCTTTCACTCTCTAAGCTGTAGAGAACAGCCTTGTACCCTGGGGACAAGGGAAAGACATCCCACGATGGATCCTCGACCAACGCCTCACGGGTTCGTGGATTCACCCACCATTCATTCAATCAGGAAGCATTTTCCTGCACCTGCGGAGTGCAAGGCAGTGCAGGGTGCAGGCCCGCAGGATGAGGGGCAGTCGGGGGGGATCGGGGACACAGGTGTCCCCAGGGAGCCCAGTGCAGTGCAGGTTAAGGGCCGTGGGAGCATTGGGGAGTCCTCAACAGACGCCTCCCTTCCAGCCTGACCATCTCACTTCCCACGTGACAAATTCTCTCTTACCGGCACCCGCTGTGGCCACCCCGCCCAAATTCCACAGTGCCCACCGCACACATCCCGCGAGATCAGAACAGGGTCAGCACCTCGCCACGGTCTTCACGTCACGCAGAAATGGTGCCTTCCATCCTCCATGGGGTAACCAGGTTCTGCTGAGAGTGTGGGGACTTCTGGCTGCCCAGCCACCCCTCGGTGTGCCTGGGGTAGTGTGTGGTTTACGAACACAGGGAGAGACTCAAAGAGCTGTCGGCGACATGATCACCAATTCGGTCCCCAAATCCAGAGAGGAGTAGGCGTGATTACCTTCTTGTAACTCGAAAATGTCGAAAATGTCAATGACACTCTTTTTGGCTTTCCTATTTACTTACCCAGACGTGCAAAAAATTTTTGTTTATTGAAAAATAAACAAAAACCAAGGGCTACTGGTGTTTCTGTGGTATGTTGTCGGCACCGGGCTACACTTCCGTCTCCCTGCCCACGGGCACATGCGGCCTCGTGTGGTGACAGGGCCGAGGCGAGGGCCACCCACCCCGCCAGACCACACTCCGTGGGTCCAGCACGGGAATCCCCTCCCTGTCTCCGAATGGCAGCTGGTGGGGGGGTGGGGGGAGCGGGGAGATGGGGACCAAGGGAGCAGAGCCCAGGGCCAGCTCTCTCCAAGCACCAGCTTCCGTCCCCAGCTCGGATTGGGGTGGGGGGTCTGAGATGCCACGCTGGCTGCCCTCCAGGACTTAGTGGAGGTGGGTCTGTGTCTGATGCTTAGTTAGGGGGCTTGCAGCCTTTCAATGGTGGCACATCAGGTATATGAGTCCCATCTATTCTCTGGACCCCTGCACATGCCGGGAGGGACCCACCTGTCTTCTGACCACAGGCTTGTTGGGTCAGTAAAGACGCCCTTTTCAGGTCCCATGGAGCTGGGGACAGGACCTGTGACACCCCACCCCGAGATGTCAGCCTGAGCCCCCACCTCCTGCCAGGGTGAAGGAGCTTCTATCCAAGCCCTCACCCTGCTGACCAAGAGGGTGGCCCTCAGGGGGGAGGCCCCCTCTCCGCTTCCTGCCACCTCCTGTTCCTTCTCGGCCAGGTCGCTGCTCGGCCAGGCCCCCGTGTCCCTGAATCTCCTCCCTCCCCGGCCCCCGCATCCAGGTCTGCTCTGTCTCCTGCCTGGACCACCCCTATTCAGCCGGGGTGGGGGGATCTCTTCAGTGCAGCGGGACACACAGAGAAAGCAGGGGTACAGCCACAGAGGTGGGCGCTACTTCAAAAACTAAGACAATAAGATGACAGTGTTGAGGTGATAAACATGGGAGCTTCTACAAAAGAAATGGGTTTTCCAGGGAAACACTAGTTACCCAAATTCCTCCCCGCGGCCAGTAGGATGAGAGCACTTCCGGGGAGAAGACCCCAACATGGACCCCTGCTGTCACCTGACCCGGTCCAGAACCTTGGACCCTTTGATGGAACCGGGCGCACCCAGGCTAGAGACACGGTTCTGGGGCAAAGGCCAAGACAGGATGGAGGTCTTTTGATTCTTCCTTCAAAGCTGGGAGGGTGAACCCAACTGAGTTAACAAAGGAGAGTCACTGTCCTCACTCCTGAAGAAACAAAAATCCTCAATGAAGGAACAAATAGAAAAATAGCAAACTCTTTTTTAAGCTCCTGATCAAGTAGAGTCTCTTCCGGGACAGCAAGTAAAATAGCAACAAATGTATCCCTGGAGAGCGAGCCTTGGAGAAGTGGGGGCGGGGCGGGAAATGATGGATCACTGGAGTCGCTGGAGCCAACCACGGGGTCAGGCAGGTGACCTGAGCGAAGAAACCCAGATGGAAGACCCAGCCAGGGTGTGGGATCCGCTGCATCCCACCGGCAGGGGGGCGGCGGGCAGCAGGGGAGAAGGGAAGTCTGTGCTGTGACTGGGGAGCTGGGAGGGCTCAGAGCGCGTGGTCCTGGCTGGGAGGGCCCCAGGATGCGGGTGGGCAGGGGACACGCATTAATGAGGCTCGTTGCTGTGTGGGGTAGCTCTCTGGTTGCTTCTTACAGGGGCATTCATCTTCTCCCGAGGAGCTCCATGACCAAGGTACCCCCGAAGGGCCCAGCTCCAAAGGCCGTGTGGACGGGGCCACAGGAATTGTTCGTGGTGTGGACAGAGAGTCCGTGGCAAGCAGACAGGGAGAGCGCCGTTGTCCTAGCACCCCCAGCCCCGTGCAGTAAGACACGAGATAGAAAGGCGAGGTCTGGCTGCCAGGAAGGGCCGCAGCGATGGTTACAGAGACATTGCTGTCTACCACGGAAACTCAAGCGAAGGACCCGCGGGTACCACGAGAAGTCAGCACGCATACACCACCTATCTAAAACCCTACCTGCCAACAACAACCTGTTACAAAAGTCATGATGTGCCCGGCCGGTGTGGCTCTGTGGGTGGAGCGTCGTCCCAGGGACTGAGAGGTCCTGGTTCGATTCTCGGTCGGGGCACATGCCTGGGTTGCGGGCTTGATCCCCAATAGGGGGCGTGCAGGAGGCAGCCAATCAGTGTTTCTCATATTGATGTTTCTCTCTCTTCCTCTC